TGTTCGTAGAATTTAAAAACTCACCTTTATTCCGAGTGTAGGCGTCAGCATCCCGTAGTCGGCTATAGGCGGCAGCATAACGGGGGAAAGATTTGCCATCATCATACTTTCCAAATTCCACAAACGCGCCTTACTTTCGTTCAGTACACAGTATTCTATTTTATTTTGCACTTGACCTACCTGTAACAGATAGATAAAGGGGGGAAAAAAAAAATGTCAATTAGATCCGTCATAAAAGTATGTAACAACAAATATTAATACAAAATAATAATGATTGTTATTATTATTATTATTATTATTATTATTATTATTTATATCATTTTGCAAAGAACGATATAGTATTATAAGAAAAAAAAAAAAAAAAAGATATAGAAAAAGGAAAAAAAAAATTGTGATCTTTCTCATTCCTCAAACAAATTGGCGTAACTCGTACGCTTAATAAAAGGCAAATCGTTCAAAGAGAGAAAAAAAGATAGAAAGAAAGAAAGAAAGAAAAAAAAAAAAAAAGAAAAAGAAAAAAAAGAAAAAGAAAAGAAAAAAGAAAAAGGAAAAAAAAATCTTTAAAAGAGAATGTGGAAGAGAAAAAAAGAGAAACAGTGAAAAAATGTAACAAGAAAAAAAAAAAGGAAAGAAAAAAATGAAACGTTAATACAAAAAGAAAAACAACAAAAAAAAAAAAAGAACTAAGAATTCTAAATTCATGAAATATAATTATTATTATTATTATTATTATTATTATTATTATTATTATTATTATTATTATTATTATTAATAATAGTAGTAATAGTAGTAATCTTAATGGTAGTGGCAGTAGTAGTAGCAAGGGCAGACTTTTCCCGTATATAATTTTCTTCTTAGTGAATTTCCGTGACCGTGCCGTGCCGTCTTAAACTTATACGAAGCGTTTCGAGAAAGTAACGAGTTAGTTTCTAGCTGCTGGGTGCCAGTCAAACGAGAGAGAGAAAGAGAAAGAGAAAGAGAAAGAGAGAGAGAGAGAGAGAGAGAGAGAGAAAGAGAGTAATACCGGCAGCAACAGTAGCAGCAGCAGCAGCAGCAACAACAACAACAACAACAACAACGCCAGTAGCACAGCGCACTTACATAACCCCCCAACCCATCCACTCATTCTCCTTTCACCCTCTTCTACTACTACCTCCTCTCTTTCCTTCCCCGTCGACGTACTCGTATCGCAACGGCACGGTTTCGCAAACTCACTTCTAAACTCGTTTCGAACCTTCAACGGAGCCAGAAACCGGACTCGACGTTTTGTGAAAAGATGGTTGTTGGAGGGCTGGGTTGGGACAAGGGTGGATGTATAGAATAGTAAAAGAGGTAGAAGAGAAGGAAGAAGAAGAGGATCGTTTTGTCGTATACTACATATTTACTTTTCTCTTTCCCTTTCCCTTTCCCTTTCTCTCTCTCTCGCTCTCTCTCTCTCTCTCTCCCTGTATCTTTATATGTATTCGTTTATTAATCATGTTAAGATACGTATTGTTATAAGTAAATCAATTAGAACAAAATGATCCTATTAAAGTGAAACATACGAATTACTTTTTTTTTTTTTTTTTTTTTTTTTGTATGATCTCAGACTGCTTCTATTTTTTTTTTCTTTTCTTCTTTCTTTCTCAGATTTTTGAGAGTCTATAATAATTTTAACAGGAAAAAAAAAAAAAAATGTCACGGAAAAGAATAATTTATGAATTAACCCAAAAACTTTTGGCTCAGCCTGTACATATATAAATTATAATTTACTTTCAAGTATATATATATATATATATATATATATATATATATATATATATATATATATGTTGGAGAACTCCCTACTCAAAATATATTTCATCGGCTAATATAAGTAAATCGTGTGACATCGAGAGAACACTTGTAAATATCCAACGCGTTCATTTCGTTTAACGAACGATATATTATTCAATCGATTGTTACACGAGTATCATCTCTACTTTCAACAATGATATTAACATCGAATATGTCCACTTGAAATATTTATTTAAACATATTTACTTTGTTAACTGATTAAAACGATATTACGTATTATTTCACGTTTGATACTTTTGATAATACATTTCATTTTTTTTTCTTTCTTTCATTCTTTCATCGTATTTGTCTTTTCTTTTTTTTTTTCTTTTCTTTTTTATTCGTAATAAAGTTCAGAAAATATTTGCGAAAGAATAAAATTCTGATATCTCGATAAAATTTATATATATATATATATATATATATATATATATATATATATATATACATATATATAAACGATCTCTAATAACGCGAATATGAGAATATATCATAAATGGTATTTACGGAAAATGAACAATGAAAAATAAATTTATTAGAGCAAAGGGAGATGGAGAGGAGGGGGAGGGGTACAACGAATATAGTGGCGAAAGAGAACGAACACCTATATGATTATTGTTGTTTAGAAATCATTCTAAATGGAATAAGGATATAGGAAAGAGAAAACGCGTTACTAAGCGGACTC